CAAATGACTTAAAAAAGCTGTTTGCAGAGTTAATGACAGAAAACTTCCCAAACAGAGGGGAAGAATTTGACATTCAAATAACTGAGACATATAGGACCCCAACTAGCTACAATCAAAAAAAATCTACACCTAGACATATAATAATCAAGATCCCAGAAACCCAACAGAACCACCAAATACTACAAGCAGTAAGAGAAAAGAAACAAATCACATACAAAGGAAAGCCCATCAGAATCACAGCAGACTTTTCAACACAAACCCTCGGGGCAAGGAGAGCCTGGAATGACATATTTCAAATACTAAAAGAGAACAACCTCCAACCTAGACTGATGTATCCAGCAAAACTCTCTTTCAAAATGGAGGGGGAAATAAGACACTTCCACGACAAAGAACACCTGAGAAACTACATGAATACCAAACCAGCACTACAAGCAATTCTAAACAAGATCCTAGAAAAAGACAATGAAGGCGACAACACCATGAGGCCCAACAGAGCAAATCAAACAGGCAAGGCAAGAAATTAAAAGGAGAAGGTGAAAACGTAAAAAGAGTCAACAAAAGCCCAATAACAAGTCAATAATAAGTCAGTACCTATCAGTTATAACCAGCAATGTCAATGGCCTCAACTCACCAATCAAGAGAAATAGACTGGCAAAATGGAATCAGAAGCAAAATCCAATACTACGTTATATACAAGAAACACACCTAGTGCCAAAAGAAGCCCATAGACTGAAAGTGAAAGGATAGAAAACAATTCTCCATGTGCCAGGAGCCCAGAAAAAGGCAGGGGTAGCAATCCTATTGCAGACAAAGCAAATTTCAAACCAAAACTGATTCTAGTATTATTTTTTTCCCTCCCTTCACCCCCTCCTCTCCTCCCCATCTACAAACACTTTATTTTCATCTTTTCATTATCTTACATTTTTTTCTTTTCCCTTATTACCCTTCCCCTACCCATCCCACCTTCAATCCAACAACTTCTAGACGATGCAAAGAAAAATAACATAAGATCCTAATAAGA